TCGTTCACATACTTCTCACCGCCCACAAACAAGCACAGGCCGCCGGCCCCAGCCCCAGCCCCAGCCCCAGTCCCGAACGTGACCCCTGCCAGCCGCAGAAGGTTGGGCGTCTGGGAACGCACCCCGCTCCGCCCCCTCACGCTCCGCCCCCTCGCAGTCCGCCCGCTGCAGCCGGCTCGGCCAATCACTGGCGCCCTCGGGGGCCGCGCGCCCAGTGGTCGGAATGGACCCTACGTCACTGCGGGCTGGCCCGCCCACTTCTGGCGCCCTGCTGCCAGTGGGAGTTGTGCTCGTTGGCCCACGTTGGGGGGGGCGGGGTGCTGTTCACACAAGGTGGGAGCAGGGGCTAAGCCGTCCTCTGCGGCCCCTCACAGGCTTCGGTGTCAGAATTTCCCCCATGCGCCAGCGCTGCCTCAAATGTCAGGGCTCGCCCACTCTTCCTCGGTCTCGCCAACCTAACCTTTCGGGGGCTCCGGAGGGGAAATTCGCCGTTTCTGCCGGACGTCTATGGAGGCCCCGAACCAGCCTTTAATGGATGTTGAACCACCCGTTTACTTAATGCCCCAAATGGCTTCCTTACGCCCAGTAACTTCAATTTAACTCCCGCCCCCTATAATGAATAGAAAACGGGTGAAAATGTTCACTTCCCTCAGCACATAGAACTTCCCATTCACCGTCTAGTAAAAGGAATTTGACCTGGGAGATAAGATGAAAATAGGAATAAGAAATTGATTGAAATCACATCGTAAACTATCTCTAGGCTCAGAAAGGAAGGAGCATCTTATTGGGTGAAAGTGGGATGATATTCAGCAAGCATTTATTGGGCATCTGCTTTGCGCCACAGTCTGCAACAGATGCTAGAGATTCAGCGGTGACCAAGACAAGGAAGATCCCATCATGAAATTCACAGGATGAAGGGGACACAGACAATAAGTAAACAAAAGACAAAATGCTAGAGAAGTGCTATCAATGAAATAGAAGGATACATTAATAGGAATACTTGTGTTATTTAGTAAGACGCAATCCAAGATGTAAATGACCCATGGAAAAAAAAATAACCTGGCAGCAGTTTCTTTGCTATCTATTGTGATCAGACTAATGCTAGGGAAATTTGCTTTTGGATCTGGGATGGGAAAGGCCATGGGTGACTGTTGCTAATGTAGGGGAGGCAAAAACGTTACCTCAACCTTAGAATATCTAGCTGGGCCTGAGAATTAAATTTAAATGGGAAGACTAAATCATATACACTTATTTAATACAAGTTTTATTGTGACCTGGGAGCCTTCCTGAGGAAATGACCCCAAGAAGTGGCAAAACAAATGCTCATATACTGGGTTGAACAGAGAGTGATGATTGTGGTGAAGCAACTAAAGATAAGATTTATTTATAAAAGGTTTCATTTATTTATCGTTAGAGGGGAAGGGAAGGAGATAGGGAGAGAAATATCCATGTATGGTTGCCTCTTGTGGGTCCCCTGCTGGGAACTGGCCTGCAACCTAGGCATGTGCCCTGACTGGGAATCAAACTATGATCCTCTGGTTTGCAGGCCTGTGTTCAATCCACTGAGCTACACCAGCCAGGGCTAAGAGTTATTTATTTTAACAAGATCTCTTTGAACAAATTCTGCCAGACTGAACTCCCTCTCTGGTGGTAAAAATGTTTTTTAACACCTTGTATTAATAGGGAGGGCCGTTCTCACAGGAGAGTTTCACTTTCCGCTTTCAGGAAGAAAAAAAAATGGAATCGCAGTGACTTGTTTGCATCCGCTGTTTCCCAAATGTCTTTAACGCAGAATAATCCATATGCCAAGGCAGTGTGTTTGGAAGTGGCATGTCCTAGATCCCTTCACTTACATTGTCAACACTGTTTCTCCATCCTTGGATTGTGAACTCCACAGGGCAGAACAGGATTTCTTAGTTCAGTGTTGCAAGTGCTACAAGAAACTGGTGAGTCTTTTAGTGTGTGCCTCCCCCAGTGCATGGACACTGGCGAAGTGCTGAATTGTTGAATAAAAATGTGGTGGATAGGATGGGTTGTTCTACCTGGAAGTAAGAGATTGAACTAGGAAGCGTGTTCATTGCCAGTCCTAGAGCAATGATTTTTGGTTAAGTGGTTTAACTTTTTATTTTGCACTGTAAGTGATGAAAAATGTTCATCACTTTATAGTTCATGGGTATGAACTATAAAGTTAAGTGTCATGAGTGTTGCTGACTTATTAAGTAATACTGGTAGAGTCTACTGTGGGTAGTGTGAGATTTGGCAGCAGAATATCTGAATTTTCTGCAAAGGCTCTGCAGGATCTTGTACAGTCATTTTACCCTTTAGGACCTCAACCTCTGCATCTATGAAATAAAAATTGTTACTGCCTGCCAGGAAGTCCATATATGATGCCTAAAATCAGTAAGTGAGAAGTAACTATTATTTAAAAATACTGAGATAATTATCAGATGAAATAAAGAGTTGAAAATATTTGCCTCTGAAGAGCGCTGCTGAGGGGCATGAAGGACTGAGAAGCCTGCTGTTTTTCGTTATGAACCTTGTAATGCTCAATGAGCTATTGTATAAAAAATCTGAGTACCACAGTCTGTCACTGGGCTGTGGTGCCCTGGTTCAGATACAGGTAGACTGGCTGGGGCAGCTGTGTTCCATGTGTTCATTTTGAAACCCAGTTTGGGAGTGTGGCAGCACCTTCCCTGGGGGAAAGCTCCTCCTACAGCAATGAAAAGACAAGAGAGCAAGTCTAATCACCAGGTCAATGCTTTTCATGGCTTTGATCAGGCTGTGTCTGCTAATGTTCCATTCGCCAAAACGAGGGTAGACCCAAAGTCAGGGAGCAGTCCCTTCCACTCATGTGGATGAAAGAGCCAGTGTTTCTGAAATACAATCCAATTCACCATGAGTTATATCTGAGTTTTAAAAACTGTGTGCCGTGTAGTCATTTGATTTAAATTAATGCTCCCTTGGGACCACTTCAGATCTCGATGGTGATGCAGTTGTCTCAAAAGTGTTAACTCGGGTTCTTTCTCTTCCACTGCTGAAGCATGTTGCCATTTTTATCTGTCGTGGCTGTCACACTGCAGCAGGTCACCAGCATCGCTTTCTCCTCCCAGAGTGTCCTGTGGGGAGCAAAACAGCCTGTCTTCTTTTGGTCTCCTTTCCGTCGACCTAAATCCCTCCTCGGTTCCCAAAGCACATGTCCTGCCACTTGCACCCTCTCCCTGTCTGTCTCTCCCATTTCCCACACTCCTTCCGAGCTGAAAGAGGGTGGCTTTTGCCTGCTTTCTTTGCAAACAGCCAAAGGCGAAGTCATTCCAGAACTCCCAAAATGTTTTATTCTGAAAAGGTACAATGATTCCAGGCACTTAAAATTTTTGCACAAGTGCAAAATGTTGCAGAAATGAGTCTATTTACAGTTTTTAAAAATTGAGTATAAACCACTCTCACCACCGTTACAAGGTTCACATGAGATATATAAAAGTGTTCTGGAAACCAAGCAAGAAAAATAGCTATTTCTTGAAAATAAACCTGTTTTTAACATCTAAATTGAAACCTATAAACACACCTAAAATACTGTTTGACCTCACCTATTACCGGTGTGCGTGCTAAGTGACTCAACTTGTATGGGGTTGCTCCAGTGCATTTCCCATCTCTGGGAATTTACCCTCCAGTTATGTCTGCACAATAGGACGTACTACTAAGGCCATTCAGGGCAGTGCCGCGTTTCCCCACGGGGCTGTCTGCAGAGGAAACGATGGAAATAACCTAAGTGTTATCAGTAGGGTACCAGTTAAAAAACTATTGGGGGGTTAGAGGAAGTATTTTATGAGAAAGTAGAAAAATAAAATAATAGTATATATTTGCATTTACTTCTGCTTGCATAACCGCTGGAAAGATGCCCCCCAAACAAACAACCTGTTGGGGATGGGAATGGAACTGGATGTGGACAGGTAGGAGCCTGTCTGTTCAATGTTATCAGGATCCTCCTGGTTTTTGAAACTGGTAAAAGAATCAACATTCAAAAACTTTTAAAAAGTTTGAGATTATAATGGCAGTAAATATAATCAAGTACTTTTTAGACTTAAGTGCTCAGTATTGCTCTAATTCTGTGGATGCAAAAGTAGCACTGGGATCTTTAAAAACAACTCTGAAAACATATACACGTGAATACATGAACACATGTGAATTTAGCAAATTAGTTGCCAAGAATGGGACATAGCCTAGGCTGGTGTGGCTCAGTGGGTTGAGCGCCAGCCTGTGAACCACAAGGTCACTGGTTCCATTCCCCTCATGGCACAATGCCTGGGTTGCAGACCAGGTCCCCAGTAGGGGGCGCGTGAGAGGCAACCACACATTGATACTTCTCTCCCTTTCTCCTTCCCTTCTCCTCTCTAAAAATAAAGTCTTTTTAATTTAAAACAAACAAACAAAAAACTAGAACTGCCCATTTATAAAAAAGTGGTGACCGAGCATGGGGTTGATAAAGCCAGGGTGACCTTAATGAGAGGCCTACCAGAGCGGAGGCGACACGGGAAAGCGCTCCAGGAGGACAGTACAGAGACCTAATGGTGAAAGAACAACTCTATTTTTGAAAAATGCAAACTTAAATTAAGAAGCTACGGATCTGGGGTCAGGAATTGCACCTATGGGTTACAGCAAAAAAGCGGGTTAAACCTATCAGGTGCTGTGATTACACGGGATTCCGCCGCTCGGGGGGCGGGGTTTCGTAAGGATGCGTGATGCCGGGGGATTCTCGCGGTGCTGGATGTTCCAATCGGAATCAAGCTAAGCGCACACTTGACGCAAAAATAGGAGCCACTGTCTGCGGTTCTCCGGGGTGAGTTAGGATGGGCGGATGTGACGTAACGCGATGCGAGCAACGTGCGTCTGCGCAGTGAGTGAAAATAGGGAGCCTGCGGGCGGGCGTCAGCGCGGTGCCGGTGCCGAGGGCTCCTGACGGGCGGTGTGCGTGCTTGCGTGCACGCGTGCGTCCCTGCGTGCGTGCCTGTTAGGCTGGTTTTAGTTCGGTTGTGCCTGGTGCAGCGGTACAGCCAAATTGGCCGAGGAACCGCTTCTGTAGGAGGAGAGGCGAGGTTCAGGTCTGGGACTGGGGAGGGTGGCACGTGCGCATGCCTTGGCGCTGCGGGTGGCGAGTGGCCGCCGGGGCGGGGCCTCGGCGTGAAGCTCCCCCTCCCCCGCACACTGGCCTCCTGACGGTGTCCCGCCGAGTCTGAGGACCGTGTGGCCTTCTAGCGGAAGCTTGTGGGCTTTCGACTGCTGGCGTGGTAGCAACTGTAAAGCTTCCAAAATTGTGTGCATAGCATTCCACCAGTTTGGAGCTAGTTGACCCGGTGTTTGTTGAAATCGGGTTTTATTAAAATCTTTTGCATGCGCAACAAACACTGCAGAAAATTATCTGCTAAAATTTTTTTTGGCCCTGGTGCAGCTGTCGTTTACAATGAGAGAAGTATCGTGTTGCTTTCAGTAAGGGGGGATTCCCATCTTTATTCGTCATAAAAAACATGTAATCAGTTTAACACTGTTAACCCCTCCCCACCCCGCTCCGAATATTTAGTACTATTAGATAAAGAAAAAAATCCCCTCCAAAAATCTTAAAGGTTAATTGCTAAAGACTGTGTATTTAGGTTTTTGCCCATGAAATTAAATTTAGTCATTCCTCTATAAAATGGTACTTCAAAAAAGATTTTCCGTCTCCCTGCATTGTGTGAAATGCGAGACCCACGTCCTGGTGTTTTAGAAAACTTCATCTGCAGTATAGTATTAGAAACTGGATTTTTAAAAACACATTAAGAGAAATTAATACAAACTGGGTTAGCAACCATACTGTGCTTTCATTTGAAAAATACAGCAATTGAAATTTTATGTGAACCAATACCTAAAATGCTGTTTCCAGACTCATTTGTGTTTGTCTAGCAGCACTTTCCCCCTGGGAGGCACTTAGTTATTCTGCTTTAATCTATGTCTAAACTTTAATAGCTTGGCTGTTTCCAGGGTCATGGTGAAAGGTTTTTGAAAATCTTTTTTTTTTTTTTTGAAGTCTTGACAAAATACTCCATTAACAATGGCTTCCAAAAGAGCGCTGGTCATCCTGGCTAAAGGAGCCGAGGAGATGGAGACGGTCATCCCTGTGGACGTCATGAGGCGAGCTGGAGTGAGTGCCTCTGTGTTTCCTAGCTCTCCCGCTTTGAAAAACCTTTCTTGATTTTTGAAAGTCATTTGAGGGGGTGGAGGGAAGGAAAGGGCAAAGGAGGGGATAGTGGTGATGGAGGGAGACTTGACTTGCTGTGGTGAACACACGGTACAATAGACAGATGATGTGGGAAAATTGTATTCCTAAAACCCATATGATCTTACTAAGCAGTGTCACCCCAATAAATTTAATTTAAAAAATCATTTGGAATAAAATAATTTATGAGATCTTTCAAACATAGTGGAGTTTATGTAATAATAACCTGTTTATTTGCTGTCCACACTCAGTACTTGTTAACACTTTGCCCTGTTTCCTTCAGAGTGTTTCTTGCAGAACACATGCTCCCAGAGAAATAAAGCACCGCAGAGCACTCTGTACATTTCCCCAACCCCATTCCCCTTCCGACCCGGAGGCAAAGGAGCGTTAGAGTGTCTGTACTAAATATCTGTATATGTGCTATATAACCATAGTGAACCCTTAAATAGCATTTACTGAGCGCTAGGTGTCATTCTGAGCACTTCTAGAAACCCGTTTCGGTTGTACAACAACCCTGTGAGTTGTCGCTGTCCTTAATTTTGCCGTCGAAGGAACTGGTGCAGGAGGCACTGGATCCAGTGCCCGCACTGCACAGGGAGTAAGTGAAGAGCTCGTGCTCAGGCCCCAGCAGCCTGGCCCCGGAGTCCGTGAAACCCGCACTCCTCCGGTTCTCAGCGGTGGCGTTACATGTGGATCCGGGTTGTCTATTTACAATCGCTGCTTGGTGTTACACTCTGTGAACATGCCACAGTCTGTCTTTGTAAATTCATTCTTCTGTTACCTTGTTTCACGGCATTACAATACTCTTATTCCTGTACAGGCTTCCTTGTGCAAATGTGTGGTGAAAGTTTTTCCAGGCTCAGTGTTGGAAAGTGAATTAGCTAGGCCACAGGATAGCCCCTGGCTGGCGTTACTAGATTTTGTTAAGTGACTCCAAAGAACCAACATGTGGGCCCATCAGCAGTGGAGGAAAATTTCCATTTTCCTGGTTCCAGCTCTGGGTATTGTTAACTTTGCAGATTTTTGCAGGATGCAGTGGCATTTTGTTGTTTTATTGGCAGCAGTAACTCTGCAGGGTGGATTATTAATAGAATGATCATAGAGTTTATCTTCCAAACCAGAACACGTGTGGGGGAAAGGACACTAAGCAGACAGCGTGCTGGGGCGGCATCTGAGTCAGCACTGTCCCAGGCACACTGGGACAGACCTAGCAATATTAAATATATGTTGCCAATTTATTAGCTTAAAGTCAGCATGGTTTTGTTGCACTATTTCCTGTCAAGTTATTTTAAAACACAGGGTAGCTGTGAAAATGTTACTCTGCATATCAGTGTTCTTAAATATCACGATGACGTCTTTCTCTCAGATTAAGGTCACCGTTGCGGGTTTGGCTGGAAAAGAGCCCGTACAGTGCAGCCGAGACGTTGTCATTTGCCCTGACGCCAGTCTGGAAGACGCAAGAAAAGAGGTGCGTTCTCCATACGTGGAATTACTGCTCCCTGTGGCTTTGTTACCAGTTTCTTGAACTGTCCTTTGAGTGTATCTAAGGCTGTTGTTAGCACAGTCTTATTTTAGGAAAGTCACTGTGCTTGACTGTCTTCCCCACACTAAGCCCTAGTAATGCAGGACTTGGCCTTTCTCTGCTGTGTAAACGTGGAACCTGGCAGTGCCCTGACCCCTTGTGTACTCAGGAAGTGGCTGGGAGGGGAGGCAGAAGGATGGGCCACCTTCAGCCCTGCTCTGTGGTGCGCACAGGCAGCCGTGCCTCCCGTTCCAGCTTCATTCCGTGATCGACTGCGATCAGCTGCCACATGTTCCAGTTGCTTCTGATTCTGTATTTCAGGACAGCGCGTTCCCTTCCTTTGCAGCGGCGCAGGGGCAGGCCTGCTTCTCATGGAGCAGCTCTACCTGCTCCACGGCTGGATTGAGGCGGGGGTAGGGGTGCCACTTAAATCGTGTCACTTTCTCAGTCTCAGTAGAATTTGGGTCCTTACTCTTGGGGGCAGCCAGCACGTGTGGGAACCCACTGGAGATGGGGTCTCTCCTCAGAATTGTGCCCGCCCACGTGCACAGGCACTTGTGCACGCCCTTTCACGGGGCGCTGGCCTACCCGGCCGGTGTGGCAGGCATGGGGGCTCTGCCCTCTTGAGAGGAGAAGGAGGCAGGGCCAGCTCGTGACTGCCGTCTGTGTCCCCCTGAGGGACCTGTGAGAACGAGTCCCCATACTTAGCAGTCCTCAAATGCACAGAAAAAGATTTACTGCTTTCTAGTCAGTTCAGACATTTCAGTGGTAAACTGTGGAGCGTTAGAATGTTATCTACATACAAATGGCGAAGCTCTCCAGGTAGTGCGCTAAAACTAAGAGTAGAAGTAAATATTTCTTCTCTGTCCTTTTTCGTCCTGTTGTGTTTCAGAATAGTTTTTACCTCTTGTGTCTATTTATGGGTCGGTTCAGAATCTGAACTGAAATTCTGTGCATCACAGAAATTCTGTACGTCACATATGTTCTTTTTTAGGGTTCAGTTTCCTTTGGTTTTAAAACAACAGGATATTTGTAGTCTCTAAAAATAATTCTAGCCCTGGCTGGTGTAGCTCAGTGGATTGAGCACGGGCCTGTGAACCAAAGGGTTGCGGTTCGATTCCCTGTCGGGGCACATGCCTGGGTTGCGGGCCAGCTTCCAGCAGGGGACACACAAGAAGCGACCATACATTGGTGTTTCTCTCCCTCTCTCTTTCCCTTCCCCTCTAAAGATAAATAAATTAAATTAAAAAAAAAAAAGTAATTCTAAATAGTAGATGTTGCTCTAAATATACTGAATTATTTTCATTTCTAATTTGCTTAATGATGAAATCTTTTAAACTTTTTAAACGTGAAGATATTATTAAACCAGTTTTCGTTTTGTAATTTCAACAAATTGAAATCATTAGATTTCTAGGATGTTTTGGTATTTAGGACACTAAAAGAGTACATCATATTTCTCTCGTTTCATTAAGTTACTTTTATAGAGATTTATTTATGTTTAGAGGGAAAGGGAAGGAGAGAGGGAGAGAAATATCAATGTGGTTGCCTCTCATGCTTCCTCCACTGGGAACTGGCCTGCAACCCAGGCATGTGCCCTGACTGGGAGTCGAACCGTGATCCTTTGCCTCACAGGCCCATGCTCAATCCACTGAGCTACACCAGCCAGGACTCGTTTCACTTTTCAGAAAGTAAAAAATATTTTTCATTGCCTTTTACTCAAAATTTGTTTTTCTTTTGATTATATTTTATTACTGTGTACATTCCTGTTGAAAAATAACTCATACAGTGTAGATGTATGTAGAGCCACAATGTGAATGTCCCCCCCTTGCCTCCATCCACACCACCCCTTTAACGCTTGGGGCGCCTCCCTCATCTGCGCGTGTCTGTGCTCTACACACGTGTGGCAGTGTGTGCGTGCCATGCCCACGCATGTGCGCGCGCACACACGTGCAGTTGTGTCTCGCAGGAGTGAGGTCGTGCTGCCCCGCAGCCCCGCAGGGCACAGTGTCTCTCGTGGCACTGCTCACAGGTCTTCTGGATGCTCTGCTGTGGCCTGTGTTGAAAATATGGAAGCTTTATTTTTTTTTATTTTTAAAGATTTTATTTAATTTTAGAAGGGAAGGGAGGGAGAAAGATCAGGAGAGAAACATCAGCATGTGGTTTCCTCTCACGTGCCCCCCACACTGGGGACCCAGCCCACAGCCCAGGCACGTGCCCTGACTGGGAATCGAACTGGCGAACCTTGGGTTCGCAGGCAGGCATTCGTTCCCCTGAGCCACACCAGCCAGGACTAAAATGTGAACGTTTTATGGACTGTCACTTTAATGCACATTATACATGAAATGTTCTCTTTTGTTCTGTGTCTCACACCGTTACAGGGGCCCTATGACGTGGTGGTTCTGCCGGGAGGTAATGTGGGAGCACAGAATCTGTGTGAGGTAAGGACTGCCGAGCTCTGTTCATCTTGTTGGTACTATCTCAGGAAGGAGGTTGTGACTACAATAGGAGCAGGTGAAATGAACAATCCCAACTTAATCTCAAAACCTGTGTCCGGTGACATACACTGTAGCAGTAAGCTGAATTGGTAGAGTCGTTTATGAACACATTTGGGGGTTACAGTCCAGACGTCAGGCTACCTTGCTCCCCACTCGGCAGCAGAAGAGAACGTTTGTGTTCTGTGCAGCGCTGCGCAAGGAGCGAGAGAGCTTAGCTGTCTCCTCAGCGCCTGGGGAGTGGGGCTGGGACTCCTGCGGGCCGAGCTGCTGGTCTGAGCAGAAACGGTATTAGGGACCCCACGGGTCACGGGGTCGCAGTGGGAGTGTGGGGGGAGGGAGGGCGGATGACCTCGTGAAGCAGGTGGAGACAGACAGCGGGGGCTGTGCCACTGTTTCTGAACCTGCCACCTGAAGACCCCCAAACACCACGTCCCTCACGTCCAGTTCTTCCTCCTTGTAGTACAAGACCCTGGGGAGGGGGCGGCGATCACCGTGCCCAGGGGAGGTTGCTTTTCTCATCTCAACCTCAAATATTTTTAAGAAAAGGATTCCTTTTCCTTATAATAAGTGCCTTGATTGGGTTTAGGAATGCAGAAACATTGTGACTTTGATCATTTTTGTTTTAAGCATTTAGAACTACTCTTGAAAGTAGCTAGATTTAAGATCTTGTGGTTTAAGCTGAAATCAGATTCTACTAAAGTTGCTAGCAGGTACTGGCTTGTGGCTTAATGAGAACTTGATGTGCTCTCGGTCCTCTCTGAACAGTCTGCTGCCGTGAAGGAGATACTGAAGGAGCAGGAGAGCAGGAAGGGCCTCATAGCCGCCATCTGTGCAGGTACCGCGCCCGCTGCCCGGGCTTCCGTGTCTTGTTGCTTTTCTCCGAAAACTATGTGAGGGGGGGCGGTGATCAGCACTTGCCAGACATTGCTCAGAGTACTTTTTCCCCTTCGTGAAGCATGGAGGGCGTCTGGGGCAGCATTTCCAGTTTGGGTGGTGTGACGTTGGGGTCCTTTCAGAGCTGAGTACAGTTGTTTTCTGCCTCTCCCTGCCTTTGGTCTGCATTCTGTGAAACAGCGTTTTCTGTGTTTGGTTGACCTCGGGGGAAAATGCAGCCCTCTGGAATTCAGTAAACAGCTTGTCGCAGCAAATCTCTGGGCCAGGAAGCATTTCTGCCAGCACAGTCAGCAGGAGCCGTCAGACATAAACAACCGCTCTGCCCTGTGCCTGCCCTGCGGCCCCGGGGTACTTCCTGCCTGACCCTCAGCGTCCAGTGCTAGACTCATATCTGCCCCAATTTAGAATGAGGCCAGTGGTGCTTCATAGCTGTCCCTCATCTTTGAAACGGCCATATTTTCATTTCTCATACCATTTTTAAATCTATTCTTGCTCTCCTATCAGACGATCTTCTGCACCTTGCATTTTTTCCATACTGTAATTTTGACCAGTGCCTCCCTGGTTATAGGTCTTTATTAAATGTTTGTCCAAAGAGTGAAATAGCCCTGGCCAGTGTGGCTCAGCTGGTTGGAGTGTTTTCCCGTAACCCAAGGGTTGTGGGTTCAGTTCCCAGTCACGCTGTGGACCTAGGTCGCAGGTTTGATCCTTGTTCAGGACACGTACGGGAGGCAACCAGCTGATGTTTTTTTTCTGTCATCGATGTTTCTCTCTCGCTTCCTCTCTTTCTAAAAGCATGAAGAAATGTCCCCAGGTGAGGATGAAAAAGGAGAGAGTGGAACAAACAAAAAATGGGTGGATTGGATAAAATGGCGCAGCTACGTTTTGTTCACTGCAGTAGATGTTAGAAGAAGTTTATGGCTAGGGATCCTGGGACTTCCAGTCAGAGCCGTGGTTCTCGGCTTTCTTTCAGAGGGTTTGAAAGGGGCGGAGCAGATTCTGTGAAGACATTGTTTGCCTTTTCCCTTCTTGTTCTCACAGGAGTAGCAACAGTGTGTTGATGCTGCTATTTGGGTGTGTGGGCTCGAGGGTTCCTGTGCTGTAAACATTTCCCAGGTTTAATTTCTAATGGGACAGTTATTGAGACACATAACCTCCCTAAAAGCTAAAGGGTTCTAAGATCTCAGGGTTTGAGAACCGCTACATTAGAGACAGCCCTGGACGTCCTGGGTTCGGCTCAGCACCAGCCTCTTGACCTGCCCTTGGGGCGCAGGGGTTTCTCTCTGCAGGAGGACTGGGCAGTTGCTGCAGCCCAAGCAGCTGCATCCCTCTTTGGAGAGGAGGGAGTCGAAGGTCCTCTTGGTTGTGTGAGGATTTGACCTGTTGCCCCCACCCCCAGGTTCCTGGGGTGCCCTCACCAGGGGACGAAAGGAAGGCTTGGGGCTGGGCCATTCCCTCCTGACTCTGCCGAATGTGGGAACCACATGTCAGTTTGCCCTGCAGGGTCACCAGGATTGCAACTCATCTGCCCCATCTGGTTCACTGTGCTGCGCTCAGGCGAGCCTGCGTGCCTAGGTCTTAGAATCGTTCAGATTGGCATTAGAAAGTAACAGTGCTCTGACAGTGCATGTGCATTGTCGGGTGTCCTGGCTGCTTTCCTGGGCGTTGCAAAGAAGAGGAAGAAGTGATGAAGCGTGAGATGATTCTTAAGTGTTGCAGTTGTAGATGGGCAGTGTTTATTGAACCAGAAGAATGGTAGCTTAGCCCCTAATACTAAGTGAGAGAGACAGAAACTGGAAGGGAGACTATCATGAAAATCAAAAGCAAAATAAAGTGTCACTCTGGGTGGGGGAAAGGGATGGAAGCCTAGAAGTGAGAGAGCCAGCAGTGGTGTTCTTTCTGTAAATCACCACACGGTGGCGCTGATGGCTTCCCCTCTTAGTTGCCCAAGGGACTACTGTCCGCCTTTCCCCCTGCCCCTGCTCAGAGCTGGGTCCCTGTAGAGTTTGAGGTAATGGTAGTGGTTAAATACCTCTTCTCTCATTTTTCCAAGCAGAATTTTTAAGCCTCACACAGCAGTAATGAAGAGCTTACCCTATGAGTAAGGTGTGAAGCCCTCTGTTCAGCTGTAACATAAATTTATTGGCACATTACTGTAGGCAGCAGTTTTATCACCTGAAAGGAGCAGCTTAAAAATTCCTAAGTCACTGTATGGTCATTCTCCTCACAGTACAATCATCTCTTGAGGTTTGCTTTAAAATACAACGTAGGCAATTATTTCTTGTTTCTTAAAATCTTACAAAATTAGAATAAAGGGTAATTCATGAATTCATTCAAATAAGAATTGAGTGATTATGCAGTTTTACAGAGTTTTAAAAGTTGCTGCCCTACGTAGCTGTCTCATATTGAGGACAAGAGTAAGGCGGAAAGAGACATCAAATATCTGAGGCTTCTGATTTACGAGAGATACCAGGACCTGGTCTGAGACCGACACCTGATGCCCGCAGGAAGCTCGTGTGATTACACGCTGTTTGTTTGATCTTCCTTTGTAGCAGCTACGATCTGAGCAGCCTGTTAGTTTATTATGTAACTACTTTTCACTTGGAATCATGTTGCAGAATGAAAGGCCAGTAAGAGCCGGTGCTCAGGTTTGCTGAAGCTCCAGTGTACAGACTGTCCTAGTGTTCTAGCCACAGTGCCCGAATCATTTCAGGGGTCAAGAGACAGTTCTGACGCATGTTTTCCTAGGTGTGACATGAGGTCTTAGAAAGGTTTGTATGTGTGCCTTAGAGAAAAAAGGCAGAATACTCAGTTTTAAAGCCCTGGTCAGGTAGACCTCAGTTGGTTAGAGCATTGTCCCGATATGCCAAGGTTGCGGGTTCGATCCCTGGTCAAGGCACACACAAGAATCAATCAATGAGTACATCAGCGAGTGGAACAACAACAAAAACAAAAGGTTTTAAGATAATGTAACAAATGTCTAAAAACCTTTCTCGTTTGTCCTTACTGGTGGGCCATTACACCCTAAATATGTTGTGGTTGTCAGTGAAGTTGACCATTTCAGTGAATACATTTTGATAAATCTTGTTAGCAACTGCATATTTTTTACATTTTTATTTTAAGAGGGAAGGCATAGAGGACTGCACACTGACATTTGTTCATGGTTCTTAATTAGTTTTAATAAGGAAATGCTAGTGTCTTCATATCTCAGACTTGTAAACATTTAACAGTTATCTCCTTCCGGGCTAGACAGTATTCTCTTCATTTTAATAATTTTACCACCAGCCTTGGCTGGTGTGGTTCAGTGGATCGAGTGCTGGCCTGCATCGCCAGTTCAGTTCCTAGTCAGGGCACATTTCTGGGTTGCAGGCCAAGTTGCCAGTAGGGGTCGCTTGACAGGCAACCACACAGTGATGTTTCTCTTCCTCCCTTCCCCCTCTCTAAAAATAAATACATAAAATTCCCCCTCTCTAAAAATAAATACATAAAATCACTCAAAAAATAAAATAATTAAAAAAAATTTTACCACCTGGTATGTTTGGATGGGTAGGTGCTAATATTTCCAAGTAAAAAGAAATAAAATTGGTCTGTAAAATAGCGATCAAGTCCAGAAGTTCAGAGAGTTGCAGTTGCCTTTAACTAACGTGTAGGTAAATTTCCACCTGCTGGGTGGGGGGACACTGAGCCCTGGCCGCGTCCCACTCGCACCCCAGCACGTGCGCCGCCCGTCCCCTGAGGCGGGGCCGCAGCCATTTACCTGTGCGCTCCTTGAGAGCACGCCGAGTCTTTCTGAGCACTCTTTTTCAAGTGCTTTGAATTTGTACACCTTTTCCAGAAATGCTCAGTGGATGGTTTCTTATAAATATACTTTTGCCCTGACTGGTGTGGCTCAGTGGATGAGCACTGGCCTTTGAACCGAAAGGTCGCCTGTTCGATTCCAGTCAGGGCACGTGCCTGTGTTGTGGTCCAGGTCCCCTGCTGGGTGTGTGAGAGGCAGCCGGTCCTTGTTTCTCTGGCACATCATGTCGCTGTTTCTCTCCCTCTCTTTCTCCCTCCCTTCCCCTTTCTAAAAATAAAATATTTAAAAATAAATAAATACATAAATATACTTTACCTCTCATACTAAGAAGTATATAATTTCAGAATCATAAGTATATTTTAGGTAAGAGCCTCTTGATTTTGAAGAATACTTTTGCTTTTGTAATTTTCAAAACATGGTTTTTTCTTTCTACACTTAAATCTTTTATTCATCTTCTTTTTAGGTCCAACGGCTTTGTTGGCTCATGAAATAGGTTTTGGAAGCAAAGTCACAACACACCCACTTGCTAAAGACAAAATGATGACCGGAAGTAAGTGTGTGCTCGCGTTTCACGTACAAAAAGAGCTTCTCGAAGAGCTGGGCCTTCTCTTGGCCGCCCAGTGGCACCTGTGCGAGGGGCCCCTCTGTCCGCCAGTGCGCCGCCGGGGAGGCCTGTGTGCGGTGCCCGGGCGGGGGGGCGGGGTGGTGGCTCCCGTCGGTCGCGGATGGGGGTGATGACGACTCGCCAGTTTAACTAGTAGTTTTACCGGGTACTTTGCCAGCGGCCTGAGGGTAAATTTTAAACCTCAGCAGCAATTTCAGAAAGTGCCCTTTCACCCGTAGTCCAGAGTAAAATGGACATTGCCCTCTTCCTTCAGAGAATACCTGGGTGGTAGGCATGTTTCCTTTAGTGACATGTTTCCTTTATAAATACCAGCTAGATATTTGACTTTGATCAGTTTATGTTCTTTAAAATAGTTTCTTTTCATAGTAAGAAACGAAAACAGGCTAGAAGGGGGTAAAGTATATGCATGTTTCTCCTCTAACCTCTCCACCCCCTTTCTCCTTTTCAGAGGTAACTTCTATTCAGAGTTTCTTGTTAGCTCTAGAATTTTCTCTGCACATATGCATTATTCTTTGTAGTTTAATATTTTTATTCAAATGAGCTACTAAGTATATTTCTCTGCAGCTTGCTTTTTTAACCTGACATTGTCTTACATCTTTTTTTGTTATCTGTCAACTGTTTCTTTCACTTCCTTGTGTTGCTTATTATTTGGAGGCTATAAAAGAATCAGAACACTGTGTCTGCCCTGCAGGGGTTAACTGCTCACGGAGACACGGACAGCAAGTTTCAAAATACCAGGTAGTGTCTAATTAGCAGCAGAACAACGTGGCCAGGCACCGGCATGTCCAACAGCCTAATGACGGATGCTTTCTTGGTGACAGCTACTGCTTCTCGGCATGACATTCCGAGCACCAGCCAGGTGCCTTTTGTCAGACAGGTGGTGCCTTCCTGTCATCTGTCCCTTGAGTGGGTGTCACAGAGAGGCAGAGACCCTGGAACTTGTAAAGAGAAAGAAAAATCACACCTGTGCAAAATAATTGCAAGAGAATCAGAAATTCCCAGTTAGGAGCCACATGTGGTGCAGCCGATGTGCAGCTAGTGCGGAAACTGAGTTAGCATAGCACCCAGCCAGCATCATTGAATAAACGAGACCGGGTAGCGGTAGCATCCAGAGCTGACTTGAAGGTCACCGCAACTGATGCAGCTTCTCCCCGCACTCATCGTGCTCTAGGCTGCTCTGAATTAGAGCAGAGTATGGCAGCTAACATGTGTTAGCTCTTATACTGCAGAACGATGGCGGTTTTTTGTTATATTGCTGTGTTTTTCAATTAACAGATTGTCTTTTTTAGAGCAATTTTAGGTTCACAGCAAAACTGAGCAGACAGTACAGCGGTCCCATGTATCGGCCCCCCCACCCCCCAGGCACAGCCTCCCTCCGCTCCAGCTTCCTTTCCTGCGCCAGGCGGGGCGTCCGTCACGGTTGGGGAACCGGCATCGACACGTTGTCATCACCCAAAGTCCACAGTTCACATTCGGGTTCACTCTCCGTGTGGCACATTCTGCACGTTCTTAAATTTGATCCAAGATGGTATTTCTTGAAAACTGTAACTTTGTTGTAGTTGCTAGAAGGATACTGAATTGTCAGAACTATCTGTGTGAAAACCGATTTTTTAAAAATTTAACCTTTATTTATTTATTTTTTTTCCATTACCGCTTATTCCTCTTATACCTCCCTCCCGAAAACTGATTTCTAAAAATATCTTTTCACTTCTGGGCATGTTTCACTTCATAGGCATTTAATTTGCTGTGAGCCGGTGGGGAGGTGTTGGAGGCCCGGGAGGAGCCGAATCTGGCTTCCCGAGGTCGTTAGGACACTAAGAGCGAAGACTTGAGTAGAGGACGCTCCTCGTGACCCGAAGGTGCATCTGTTGCTTCTGTTTCCTTGTACCGCCTGAAGAACACGGAGGTTGATGGGGAGTGGAAGCACGGATGAGGCTGTAAACTCCTTAAGGTGCTTACAGGTATCATCCAGTGGAGCCCCCCGGGCCCCGGGCCGCATCCTGTTGGCCTCCCCAGTGAGGAAATGGGCTCAGAGAGGCCGGGCCACCGCCTCGTGAGGTTCCCGCACGCGGCCAGGTTACCAGGCATGGAGTGGAGTCAGGAAGCCCTGTTACGAGAAAAAAAATGTGTGGAGTTTCTGCTCCTTCAGACGTTCTGAGACGTGGAGCCGGGAGCACCCCCTGGGTGTCTTCCCGCTGGGTGTGTCCGCGAATTCCCCAGAGCAGTATGAGGCTTTTATTCAAGTAAGCAATCCCATCGGAGGGGCAAAGTCTTTCCATTTCTCCCTTTTTGAAGTAAGTCTTGACTCTAATTTGGTCTCAGTTCCCACTGGTCCGTTGCTCAGTGAGCGGCCCATGGCCCGGTGCCCACCATGAGGAGTGGGCGGGCCCTCTGGGGGCAGGCGGCCCTCTGGAGGCAGGTGGCCACCGGTCGGGCTCCCGGGCAGGTCCCTAGCCTCCCTGAGCCTGTCTCCCCCTCGCGTTGTCCGAGGTTGACGGTAGCACCTGCTCAGGGCTGTTGGTGGCTTCGGCGAGGTAGCATCTTTAACTCAGAACACTGCCCGGCCTGAGCCCACGTGGAGGAGGGCGAGCCAGCTCACCGCGGTGCGCAGGCTGCCCAACCACTGTCTGCTTCGACTGTACTGCCACCACTCTGGCCCGGTGGCTGGTTTGGTTGGGTTCCCACACAGTCCTGTGCGGTTGGTGTCACCCCCATTTTACAGAAGAGAAAGCGAGGCTCAGAGAGGTCGGGTTACTAAATGGCAAGCATGGGATTTGATCCCAGTTCCCCTTGAAAGGCCAAATAGTAAATGTTTCAGGCTTGTCAGCAACTAAAGGAGCCAGACCACGTGCCCAGGAGCTGTGTTCATGGTTGACCTTAACTTCCCCAGGTGCTTTATCTCTGAAGAGACTCCCAGCTTTGGGGTATTTGCTTATAGTTAAGGGAAATTAATGCCCTGTGCCAGAATGGTTATGAGGTGTGACTTCGCTAAGCACCAAATCAGTAGCTGCTACTCGCACTGTTTTTTTCCCGATTGCCACCAGGTGGCGGTAGTGGACAAGTGGGACCATTGGCACTTTCTGGTTGTAATTTTGAAAAGCACTGTGGAGCAGCTTTGAACACCTTTAACTAGTTCAGGCGGTACTTGTAGTATTTTACCTGCAAAGCGTTTGTTCAGTGAGCCCCTTCCATAGAATCAGGCCTCACACTGCTCCGGTGCAGGCAGCTCACCCCACGGCTCTGGAGGACCCAGCTCAGCCGGTTTTCTAGCTTAGCGTTTGAATGACCTTGGCCTGCTTTGATCATGAGCAAGGAGGGTTAGACTGTGTAGACCTTTCTGCTCAGGCCAGGGGTCCTCTTAGCTCTGCAGTAGTGTAACTAGAAGACCTTTGATGTCCTGTGTTGTGTTACTTCAGCGGGTGACTTGATGTTTAACGAGGAAAGGAAGGCAAGTTCCTGGAGGTGGTCGGCCGGTCCCCTCTGAAAGGACGGAGCCACCGTGAAGTGACAGCTCTGATGCCTCTGCTTCACTCAGTCCTCGGTGGCGTTTCTGCACGTGTGCGTTGAACAGGCCCTTCGGGAGCCCTCCTTAGGCTCTGGAAGCGGCCCCTCTGGTGGTGGGGAGAGGCGGGCGGTGGTCTGCACTGCTTTCGGGGTGGGGGCTGCCTTCGTGCTTGCTCCAGCCACGGTGACAGGGCGTGGCGGGGTTCCTTAGAGGACCCTCCTTAGTGTCGACCCCTCCCCTGAACCTGTCTTCCGTGTCCCAGGTCACTGCGTGGCACCGCCCCTTCACTAAGTTCTGGGCGTTTTCTCTCTAAGCTACATCTCAAACCGTCCTTTCCTCTTTTCTGCCACTGTCCACCTGGATGGCAGGTTCTTTTCTGTCCTCTTCTGGTTCCTTCCAGTTTGGTCTCGAGGTCGGGCCAGACCCAGAGGGCCTGCACCTCGTGGCACAGAGCTTGGAGTCACCTTTAGGTGCTGGAGAAAGTTGGCAAAGGTTCTCACGGGGGAGGGAACCGGAGGGGCTTTGCATTTCGGAAAGGTCACCGTTTTGGTTTTGCAGAGCATGGAGTGGGGGGAAGAGAAGCAGAAGGGGACTGTGATGCACAGAGCCTGTGGTAAGGTGGTGTCTCTAGGTACCTGGGGGCCATGGGTACTGCAGGCCCAGCCTTCTGAAGGGTGGACAGTGATCAGGGAGCCTGGTGGTCAGCTCATAGCTGGGTCGGTGCAGGGAGGGGGCTGTGATCCAAGGGACCTGGGTAAGGGAGGGGGTCACAGACACCTCCTCTCAGTGTCAATGCTAAGACCGAGGGAGGAGGTTGTGAGAGGAGCATTCCGGGCCGGGGAGCAGCCAGTGCAGTGCTCCCTGGGGCAGGAAAGTTGGGGTGTGCTCCGCAACGTGGTGGGGGTGCTCTCCGCAGGAGGCCAGTTCTATGCACAGGGGGGTCTGATGACTGTCCGCGGGGCAGCCTGCGAGTCCACGCGGAGGAGCCCACCTGTGGCCCGGTCTCTCCTGCACGTAGGAGAGGCCGGTTCCCGCTGCCGTCTCTGCAGAACGCCCTCGGCGGGGGCCGCGGCGGGAACACGGGCCCTGGGAAAGGAGGGGGGTCTCTCCCATCCCGCGTGTCCTGCTGCCGTGGTTGCTCTGTGGGACACAGAGAGAGTGCACGGCACGGGGCGTCGGCACTGCCCGCGAGTTCCACCCTCAGCCCTTCCCCTCTAGCGTTTTGTAGAGAAGGAGAAACAACTGACCCTCTGCCTGGCTGAGCACTGGCCCAAAGCCCTGTAGTGAAAGACCAATTAACAAAAGAACTAAAAGAAGTGTATTAACACCTCTAACTCGTGTATACATGGGAGCCGCCCAGGGGAAAATGGGTAACTTCCTGATGTGGCTTTGAGTTTGGACTTAAACACCATTATAAGTGACAGGGGATGGGGGAGAGAGGCCTCTCTGGGAGGAAGCGGTTTCCAGGGAGACGGATGGGCCCTTAGGAGAGGAGAGAAGAGGGAATGATAGTCAGTGGCAGCGTCGGTCTGGGTGTGGGTCGGCTTCTGGCCTCCTCTCCAATGACGAGAGTCCACCTGCCCCGGGTCATGAAGCTCCTGGGAGGGACGGGTGGCCCCTGAGTCGCTCTCAGGGGACCTGTGTCCGTGCAGGTGAGGGGGTTCAGAGAAAGCCTCCCGCCACACTGGCTGTTTTTCAGATGACATGTCCCCGCGGCGCACTTGGGGGCGGCGTGTCCTGAGCTCGTACAGTCACATCTTGGGGGCCACGTTCTGCTGCCCCTCAGTTTACAGAATTGAGCGTGGGTTGTACAGCAGGAACGGGGCAGTTCACGCTTGCTTTCCCTCACGCCGAGCAGGCCCTGTGCAGCTGCACGCACCCACGTTCATCTCGTTCACCGGCTGTTCCGGCCCCGCCCTCTGCGGGACAGCTTCTTCCATGTGTTCCTGCTGTGCTTCGCAGGCTGGGAGCGCCTGCCTGGCTTTGAACCGCTGGCTGGAGTGTTGGGTGTTCCTTCTGGTTTATTCACATAAGACCAGTGATAGGCTGCAACCCAGGAATTGAGCGGCTGAGTGATACTTGTGCTTGTCCAGCAGAGCCCAGTGGGATGTAACCCTGTCTTATCTTTACACCCAAGGTCATTACAGCTACTCGGAGAGTCGCGTGGAGAAGGACGGCCTGATCCTCACGAGCCGGGGGCCGGGGACCAGCTTCGAGTTCGCTCTTGCTATTGTCGAGGCGCTGAGCGGCCAGGAGGTGGCTCAGCAGGTGAAGGCTCCGCTCGTGCTGAAGGATTAGAGCAGAAGCGTCGGGTCACGGGTTAGAAACAGGCCGCGCATCCTCCACGTGCGTGTTAGACCCGGGCGGGCGGTGTCTGGGCAGGGAAGCCGCGGCGCTGCTCTCGTGAAGTGTGGTCGCAAAGGGACCCTCCATGGGTTCCTCGCCCACAGCTGTGTCCCCACATTTCTGAACCTTGATTGCAGAATAAACAGGACGTTTAGCAAACTGCCAGATGTCCCCTTTTGTCTCCCATTTCTTTTGTGGAACCAGATTCATTACCGGCTTCGTGGGCAGCCCTTCACTGTGACGCAGCTGCTGGAACGAAGGCACAGTGGCCACGTGTGGTGTGGCGATTCTCCAGTGAGAAACGCGTGTCTGGTCCCCCGGCACAGAGCTCCCAGACCCTCGGGCTTTCCTCGGAGTGATCCCTGTGCCTCGTTAGGTTCACGAAACTGCCTTTGGACTCCACCCAAGGGTGGGGGCCGGGGGCCGGTGGGACCTCTCATTGTTAGAGGACTGGAACTTTCGGAGGCACCCCTGGGTTTTTGGGGGGAGGAAGCAGGGCCGGAGGTTGAATCATTCAACAATGGCCAGTGACGTAGTCTTGACTATGTAACGAAGCTGCCACAAACCCCGGAAAGGACAGGTCATCGGTCCCTTTCTCGAAAAGCTTCCACGGTGGGAAAGCAGAATTGTTCCATGAGTCACCAAGCCGGGCCCCACGCTGTAGAGGGACAGAAGCGCCGTCCTCCTCCCCGACCTCCCCAAGTGCACGTCTCCATCTGGCTGCCGATCTGCACCCTGCAGTGTCTCTCCTAAGAAGTCAGCGATCTAGTGAGTGAGCAGGTTTTCTTGAGTTCCCTGAGCCGTCCCAGCAGATCAGTGGGACTGAGGAGGGGAGTTCGGACCCTCCCACCTGTGGCTGGTGGGTCGGAAGCACCGGGCAGCCCAGTGGAGGGCGGCCCCGTGGGCCTGAGTCCTTCCCCTCTGGGATCACATTGCTTCTCTGGGTGGTGTCCAGAGGAGTTGAGCTCTCAGACACCCTGCTGGGGTCCGAGCGTTGCTTGGTGTGGGGAAGCCTCCACACACGTGTGTGTCCAGGACAAAAGACATGAAGAGGAGGTGAGGGGCCGTCATGGTCGTTGGTGAAGACCAGCTCCCCTCTGGCCGTCACAGAGAGGCTGCGGGCGGAGCTGGGAGCTCTCCGAGTCCGGGGTGGGCTCCGCTTTTCCTTCTCTGGTAACAGCTCCTAGCTGTTCACGTGCAGGAGCCACCCAGCGCCCATAGCAGTGACTGGCACACTCCCCAGGCTGGGCAGGTGGCCCAGGCCCCAGCGGGCAGAGCCTTGTCGACCCCGCCCGAGCGGCCCAGGAGAGAGCAGTCAGCCAGTGCAGCCGGATGCCGGGCCTCTGCCTGGACCGCCGCGTGCTCTCCCTGTGTTGGGCGGGCGAGGGAACAGGCGGTGAGACTGCACCCTGACGTGGGAGCCTGGCGTCAGCACGGGGTGCAGGGCCGGCACGGTACCAGGGCCGGGCCCCCCTGTGCCTGAGCGCAGGCGGCAGCCGCCCCCGCTGACAGGAGCTGCAGTCCCGGCTTTCTCAGTTGTTTCCTCACCCGGGGCAGGTACCGTGGCAAAGGCAGGAGGCAGTGCTCGGGCGTCCGAAGGCAGCGAAGCTACGAAGGACGATCGAGCCTCAGAGGGGCCCTTTGCCCACAGCCTCTCTTGTTCCTTTTCCCTCCTCTGACGGGACAGATGTCAACACACGTTCCGAAAAGGCCGGGTGGCAGATACCGTAGACGTGCGGGCCACAAAGTTGGTGTCACAGCTGCTGCCTCCCGGCCTTGGAGCAGCCACGGACACTGTAGGTGGTCAGCAAAGCTGCTCGGGGTGGGGAGGAGGCAGCCGTGGGGGTGGCCCGTGGGCTCTGGTCGGCCGAGCCCGGACCAGAAGGCTGGGCGGGTGGTAACTGTTGGAACGAGGACACAGCAGTTGCCCACGGGGATGCGCACTGCTAAGGGCCTCGGGCCACACCGTCCCTCGGGTGGGGTGGTAGGGTAGGTCCCCGGGGGACAGGCCTCGGAGCTGAGGCCTGGGGTGGGGGTGGGGGCTGGGTGTCATTCCCTCGGCTGTCTGTTCGTTCTGCTGTGTACCGAGCATGTCCCCGGGGCCGGGTATAAGCTGCTGGGAGAGTCTGTCCTCGTGGGCCCTGTAGGAGAGGGAGAGAAGAAAACGAGTTGAAGAACAGCTACATCCTGTGGGGGGAAGCGGGCCCCAGGGTGGTTAGGGAAGGCCTGAGTGAGGGCACCGCAGGCAGGAGACCTTGGGCTTCGAGGGAACAGCCCCTTGGGCTGGGGGCCTGCAGTTGGGGGGGAGCTGGAGACCAGACCGGAACTGACTCAGATGGGAACCCCCTTGATGCAGGAGGACCCTGATCCTGTTGGGCTCCAAGGCTTCCTCTGTACAGAAGGAGGCCCAGGGTGGGAGGCTTCGGCGGGTGCAGATGGGCACCCACCTGTGGGTGAGAGGAATATATGGCCCGGTCTCCAACTCGGACACCAGGGCACGTGGAGAGTCCACACCCTGAGCCGCGAGGGGGGCAGGCGGGGCGGACTTAGAGTTCGGGTGGAGGAATCCGCGGTGTCTCTCAAATGCACCTTTCATAGAGGAGAAAACTGGAGACCTGTTACCGTGGACACAGAGCGCTAAGGGAAGGTGTGGCTCAGTGGTGAGCACTGGTAGCTCTCCCCAGGCCCGGGCAGTCTTGCCTGCAGCCCGTACCCCTGAATGAGCTCCCTGGAATTCCAGAGAGACCTACCAGTGAGGACCTGCTGGAGATTACCCCTGACAGTTGGACACGATAGGAGAGCATTTCTCGGAGACCCCACAGCCCCTGTGGTGTGGGGGTGTTCGGGGTGGGCTCCAGGACCCGCCTGGGTCCTTTCTGACCAAGTCCAGGATTACTGGCTTCAGGCAAACTGGTAACATTTAAAAGTCTCTCCCTTCCTCTCTGCCTGTCTCTGAGCTAAACACACCTGCCCCCTTCCATCTAGGAAGTTAGGGGGCTGGGGGTGGGGCGGGGTTGCACGGAGCAGGAGGACTCAAACTAAAGTGGGAGGGACCTGCAGTCGGAGTGTGAGTCTTCGGCCCGTTCTGCTGCCCTGGGCCGCCTCCTAAGCCTGGGTGGCCGAAATCAAGGGCCTTCAGGCATCCTTCCTTTTCTTTTTAAAAAGTCTTAATTTATTTTTAGAGAAGGGAAGGGAAGGAGAAAGAGTGGGAGAGAAACATCAGTCAGTTGCCTCTCACACCCCCAGCTGGGGACCTGGCCCACGACCCAGGCATGTGCGCTGACCAGGAATCGAACAGGTGAACTTTCAGTTTTCAGTTTGCTGGACCACGTCCAACCCCCCGAGCCACACCGGTCAGGGCGGGCATCGTTTCTTTCACTTCAGGACGGCTCTGGGGGCTCCAGCATTTCGTTTGCACTCGGCCCCTTGGAGAGTTAGGGAGGCGGTCAGTTCCAGGAACCAAGGAGATGAAAAAGCTGGGGACTGCTGCAGCCTTGAGGGCGTTGGGGCCCTGGGGAAGGAAGAAGCCTTTTCCTGCAGAATCATCTCACGGTGTGCTGGGGCTCGTTGCCCTTTTTGGAAAATTCCCTGCTTCTGCCCTACTTAAGGCACCTGGGCGCCCTCGCAGCAACAGTGGGGCAGGGCCATGTTCCCTTACCGGCCTCCTTTTAGCGACATGTGGGGGATCAGAGCCAGTGAGGTGGCAGGAAGGGGCCACAGGAAGTCCTGTTCCTTCTGGGCAGGACACAGCCTGCCCAGACCCAGCTCCAGCCTCAAGGCCCCCGGGCTGGGCTGGGCTTTCATGGGACCACCCACTGAGGAAGAATTGACTGTTATCACCACTGTCACCATTGTTAAAAAACGTCCAGACCTGTAGAGAATTTTTCGAGTTTAGTTGAGCCAAACTGACCACATGGGCTGGTGAGTAGGCCCCCAGATGCTCCTGAGAACAGTTTCAGCTTCTCTGTGCCTTTGAAACGCAGGAGGGAAAATGAGGACGTTTCCACGGAGGTGGGAGAAAGCGTGCGGGGATTGGATTACAGGGTCCTGGACAAGATCCTCTGCTCTGCTGACGAGGTCCTTTCGAAGGTGTGTTAACCTCGGTGCGCAGAAACCACGGACCAGGCTGGCTCCCCCAAAGATCAGCCTTTCACTAAAAAGTCACAGGCCTGGGACATGACTAGTCACTGTGACCTGCCCAGTCAGAAATTCATGATCAGATCACCCTGTGAGGCCACTTTCCGTGAACCCCTCTTTCCGTCCGCATCACCATCACCACTACTGCATGGTCGTCATCACCCTCATCTTCATTTCCTGCGGCCGGCAGGGGCTGCTCCGGGTTCCCAGATGAGTCCCGGGCCAACCAGGGCTCCCGTTGGCCTCACGCTGTGCCTCTCCACTCAGCTGCTGTTTTGCTTTTTCATTTTCACGTGCGATCACATCCTGCTCTTGGAGATATTTGCTTGGCTTACAAGTAATGTTAGAATGAAAAGTTCATTGTCTTCAAAAACCAGGAACGAAAAAAGTCATGGGTCACGGGAGCCACCCGCAGACACAGACACAGGGAAGGACCCAGAACCCGAGGCTCTGCCTCTCGGGAAAGCCACCCGGGTCAGGGCCTCAGCGTGGCCCACATGTCTGCTCCAGTGGTTTTTCAAAAGCCAAGCAGAGGGGACTGTGCCGTGAAGAGTGTGCTTGGCTCGGGTTTCCTTTTTCAAAGGGAGAATAATATTTCACCAAGTTTACCAAAGAGAAAGTCGTGCTTTGTTTTGAAACCCGGATGGAATGCACTGTATCAGCCCTGAATGGCTGCGCTGTCCTGTCCCCAGAGGCTTGTGCTCACAAGCCTCCCTCCCGGTCTCAGTGTGAAGGCTTGGCCTTGTCCGTCTGGCCTTGAGCCTCCAGGCCCCACCAAGGTGCGGTGGGTGGTCAGTTTCAAACAAAAAGCAGAGTTTTCTCCATTCTGTGTTGACTGACCAGCCCTGGGGATGTCGGGTGGTGAGGTGGCAGCCTTGTCATGGATAACTTGCCAGGTGAGAGGCAGGTAAAAAGATGATGGGAACTGGCAGTGAAGCCTTCGACCCTGAGCAGTCCGTCTGATTCTCCGTGAGCAGGGCATCAACACAAGAATAACTGTGAGCTCATCAGCAGGATGAGACCACTCT